AATAGAAGTGTGTGTCAGAATACATTAGTCTTTTTCCTTTTTCTTTTTGGCCTGAAGAATAGATTAGTCTTTAAATCTTTACAGAGACATAAATAGAGTTGGTGACCATTAACATTATATTAGGAAGGTACATGTGACAATCCCCTTTTTGGAGATATTTAAACGGGAAGAGGGTCTTCGAAGGCGGGTGTGTGTTTGAATTGTTTTTTTTTTTAAAAAAAAAAGGAAAGAAACCATCGCAGCTAGAAAGTAATTAATTTATTTAAAACTTAAAAAAAAACAATTTAAAGCATTCGGACATGTTAGAAATTTTTATTTTCTCTCCATTTTGAATTATAAAACATTTTTAAAACAGTTTTTTTATCTCAAATATAAGACACTTTAAGTAAATTAAGGTTTTATTAATGCAATAATTTTAACATTACTCTTTCTCTTTCTATAATTAATTTTCATTCCTTCTCTTTTTAATATATTAAATAATAGATATTTTTAAAAGTTTATGTTTTTATTTTGAAAAGATAAGGTCGTTAGGTGTATTTAATGAGATTTATTGATATGTAAGATTTTTATCTAAAATATTTTATAATTTAGGACGCGAGAGTATTGCTAATTAGTAATTATACAGGAATGATTCTTTGGTGCTGGAGCTAGGAAATCATCTTTGGATTAGGGAATTAGTGTGGGTTTTATTATTGTTGTCAAACTCTCAAATTGACTTTTTTTAATCTATCTTTTTTACATTTTTAGTTAAAAAATTATATAACTCATTCATAAACTCGAATTAAGTAAAACTCAATTAAATTTGTGATTTTGACTTTCCAAGTTTACCATTTTTTGTTTCTAATTTATAAATCGTGTCAATTCACTCATAAATTTTTTCAATAAAATAGGTAAATACTGCATAAAACTTAATTATAAAATTGGTAAGACCCGATGCAATGAAAAATAAAACTTAAAAAACAAAAAACTAATATTGATAAAAAGAAAACAAAAGGTACTAAAATAAGTTACCCTATTTTAAATTTCTATGTTAAGTATACTATCTATGTATGTGGCAGATTTAATTTCAATTATTCCTATTTGAAATATATTTGAATTACATTATGATCATATTTTATATTTTAATTATTTAAGAATATATTTTTAAAAGTTATTTATTAATAGAAATAAACTCTTATGAATTTATGATTTGAGTTTACAGTTTTAAGTTTTCATTTATATCATAAGTTTACTTAAACTCACAAGTTTAACAACCTTGGATTTCATATAAACATGATTAGAGGATGATTTGAAAATAATTTTAAATAAAAAAGATTATATACTCATGTCTTTCTTTTTTAATTGATAATTAGTCCTTTGTTAATTAACAAGTATTCATTTGCATTAATAAAAAGTCATTCATTAATTGATAAGTTCAAGAATTTAAAAGAACTTGGTTGTGAGAAGAAACAAGCGTTGATCATGTTTTAACCATAACTACTCATTAATTAACAGTATCCATTTATATTTACTAAAAAATTATTTATTAAGTGCTAGTTTAAGAATATAAAAAAGCTTGGTTGCAGGAAGGAATAAGTATATCATGTTTCAATAGGTAGTCATTTATTAATTAATACTATAAAAAAATAGTGGATTAGCGATGGAATGTTCTGTCATTAAATTTTATCATAATGTTCATTGCTAATTCATCAGAAATAATTTATTGATAGAATTTACCAATGAAAAATTATGTCACTAATGATTGGGATATCTTATTTCAATTTAGTGACAAAATTTACAACAAAAAATTTCATCACAAAGCTTTCTAACATAAGCTATCACTAATTATTTTTAATTTAATTTTATTATTTATAATATATATATTATATATAATTTATTTAATAATTTGTTATTATGCTAAATGAATAATTTTAAAATTAAATTTAAAATATTTTATTATTTAAAATTATTTGTATATTATTAATAATAATTTAAATTGTATACTTAATTATTCTTATTTAAAATAAAAATAAAATAAATAATTAAAAATAAAAATTTAAAATATTATATATTTATAGATACAAATTATAATATAATATATATGATAATAAAATATTTTTCAATTTAATGTTAAATTTACTATCAAAAATAATTTTTTAATACAATATATAATCGAAATAATTATCTAGATCAATTAAATTTTTCCATATTAATAAATAAATATAATGTTAAAAAATAAATTTAAATACTATATTTACTAATAATTTAACTAATATATTTATTAATATACTGTGTTGTGGTTAAGTCTTATCTATTTCATTATTATTCCGCTTGAAGATTCCTTTCAGCTTAACTGACAATAAGGTGGACGCAAAGGCACTAGGGAGTATGAGTTGACAATGACAAGGCACAATTGATGTGGCAGTGAGATGACACTAGTCCACTAAGTGACTAGGTGGTGGTAAGGTGACATTGGTCCATCAGGTGATATGGCAATGATATTTTGGTTTACCTAATAAATTAACAACAAAATTAGTGACAAAATAAACTTGTTGAAAAATGTCACAAAGTCAAAATAACTTATCTTTATTTAGTGATGGAAAATTTTAGTTGCTATTCCGTCAAAAATTAGTGACAGAATTGCAAATTCTGTTACTAACGAATTAATAATAATGTTTTTACTAACTGAAATATTTTTTCACTAATTTTGCCACTAATTTGTTTAACGACAGAATTTTCACTGATTATGTCGCTAATCAGTTGTTGTTTTGTAGTATAATAAGTATATATTCGTATTTAATAAGAAGTTATTTGTTAATTGACAAGTTTAAAAATATGAAAAAACTTGGTTGTAGGAAAGAACAATTATAGATCATGTATAAATAAGTAATAATTCATGAATTAATAAGCACTTATTCACATTTAACAAGAAATATTTATTAGTTGACAAGTTTTATAAAAGGAAAAGAAAAGTAGGAGTATTATAATTTTTTTTATGTAAACTTATTTTCAAATCAGTTCCCTAATTCTACAGTAATATTTCAAAATCTTTTAATCCTTATTTGATATCAATTTATATGAGTGGTCCTTGAACAATATTTTCTCAAAAATACAAGCACGATAGATAATTTATCTATCTTATGGACTCTGAAAAAATCAGCTATAACATGACCTAATGGTATCCGAAATGAAAATCTTAGTAGATAAATTTTCTTAACTAAACATGAAAAGGTTAAATGTGACATTTTTGTCTTTAAACAAAGTAATTAGGATCCTTATTTTTTTTTTCTTGGGTGTAATCTTGGTGTTCAGCATTTAAAAATGTCTTGATGTGCCTCTTTCCGTTAATTATCAAATAAAAACTTCTGTTACTTTTATACTGTGAGGCTCAATTTTTTTTTTTTTTTAACTTCACTACCAACATTGTTATAATTAATGGAATGGGGTATATTGTGACCTAGGAGAAAAATTGTACTAAAAAAAATGTGGTCTCAACTATTCTAACACAATAATTTAAAGGAAAAATTGTCATCTTATCCATATAAGAAAAAGGAAAAATTTCAATAAGAACTCCTTGACCTAACTTAATTTCAATCAAAACTCTTAAAATTATGAAATTTCACTATTTATGTGAGGGACTGAAATAAAATTAAAGAGTTGACTGAAATGATATTATTATCCCTAATAAAGCTAAGTGCATGAACAACTTGTATACGAAAAATGAACTAATGTAAGGAAAATGAACAAATGACATAGGTAAAATTTGCAACTTTCATTAATAGTAAAACACCATTATGAATTTACAACTCTCATTTCACTTATACCATTTATTCATTTTCTACATATTAGTTGTTCATTTTTTTTATATGAGTTATCCATGCACCAAACTATATGAAAGTTGCAAGTTTCACTTCTATCTGTTGCTTATTTTTTAAATGTTATTTGTTCATTTTTCATACATTAATCACACATATTAGCAGAAATAATAAGGTTTTCGCTATTTAATTTCATATCAATCTCTCACATGTGCAGTGAGATTTCAGAATTTTTGAAGTTTTGATTAAAATTAAGTTGGGTCAAGAGGTTCTCATTAAAATTTTCAAAAAAAAAACAAAAACACCTAAGACAAGTGACATAAATTAATGTTTGATTACGAGAAGGAAAAGAAAACTAAAAACAAAATAAAATATAAGAATGCATCATCTCTGCCAATAGCAGTACATTCCCCACCCTCAGAAGCAACCCAAGTAGAAATCAAACACTGATTCAAGCCAAATCAAAGTCAGATCACTCAAACAAAGTTAAAATATTTTAATTGTTTTGGCCAAATATAGCATAATTATTATGATTTACAATTTTTTAACATAAATATGTTAGAATTTGAGATCTCAATCATTTTCATGATGTCGAAATTTATACTTCCCTTCACGCACCTTCATGGCTAACGGCCATTTGAAATTGCCCAAACTCGAAGAAATTTTTCTCGCGTCACTTGATGTTAACCTTGATTTGAAGTTGACTTTGTTCTAATCGAGAGTTTGTACGATTTTAATTGGCTAAATTTTATAGTTCATTTACTAATTTTATAATTAAGTCTTTATTTAACAACAAAGTGGCTCTCTTAAACTTGTAAACAATAATTTATCTGTTTGAAGAATGGTAACTTGCTCACATTCCCAGTTGTGGGGCAAGATTTACAATAATACGTAAAAGTGAGATCAGCCAGCCCCAGGGATATGACGCATCTCTGTGTAATTAGCCAAATAATTATGCATAATAATGAGACTTAAGTGCCATATAAATAAATAAATATATATATATATATATATATATTTTAAGCCGATGAAATTTTCAGTCTATTCAAGATCTAAATTATTCTCTCTAATTTTTTTGTACGTTTCTGTGCTACATTTAACAAGTCCAAATGGAAAAAAAATGTACGTTTTTTTTGGGTATTATATTAAGGATCCAGATGCAAATTCAATATTTTTTACTTGCAAACAAAAATTATTAAATAATAATTACAAAGCATAAATATTTCCTTAAAAAAATCTTTTCTATGTCAAGCACTACAGTCTCGGAATTTACATACAAGCTTTATCCACAATAAAATGCACAAGCTGGTGAGGTAGTCAAGTAAAAGCTGCCCTCCAAATACTTTGTTCAGGTGATGGCCAAAATCCCCCAAAAAATTAAAAACAAAAAAAATTACTGTAAATACATAAGATGAAAACCAAAACCGAAGCTTCCCTCCATAGTAACATCAATCCACAAGCTGGGACAAAAATTCCCCCCGTAAATACACCACCTAAATGCATTTACAACAGAAATATACACCATTCCAAACTAACCACAAACAGCCATAGAAGCAAAGCTCCTGGTAATGAGTCCCGTCAAGGTTTGTGCTGTGCATGTATCGACGAACGAACAACTTGTTGAGGGGTCACAGCTTTTCCATTCACAAGTACTTGTTCAGGGAAGTCCACTCGTATAGACTTGAATTGGTAATGCTAATTTAAGATACACACACATAACACAAGGTGAATACTTAGTCAGAATGACTAGTTTGATGATATTAATATTATCACTGGAGAATTAGAAAATCTATTGATTAGTACAACAACCAAAACATGAGCAAGTTCAGATCAGTTCCATTAAACAAGTTTAACCAGCAAATGGACATCCAAAAGAAAGAATGAATTGGATATACAAGCATACCTTCTCCTTCCACGAAAAATCAACCTGACGGAAATATGGATCAAGCAGCGTTAGCTGATCTCTTTCCTTGATCTGATGAAAGAAAGGACCAATTAATTCCACTACTAATGCAAAATATCAAATAGGATAGATGCTTTTTTTTTTTCCTTTCTATTTCTTCTCATGTTTTGGGCTTTTAGATGTTCACATTAAAGGAGACAATTCTGACAAAGGGTTCATCCGTAATCAGTTCTTGATCTCATAGATTATCTAATTAAATTCCTTGGAGATCTACAGCAGTTTGACACCATGCTTTCAGAAAAGGAGTCGTGTTTGACAATAGTTGCACTATAACATTAGAAATAAACAACACTTTCAATTATGATAAGCACTTCATATTTCTGTCGTGTCTGTGTCTGTCTGGCCACGTCATCTAGGCTCCGAAGCATGCGTACACTCAAATAAGCATATCATGTAGCATCTCTTTCCTAGACAAAAGTTAGATTTTATGATATACAATGGCTAATATGCTTAAAATACATTAGAAGGGAAAATAAGACAAAACTGCAGCAACTAACTCATGGTCTCTTACCACATCTATACGCATGCCATAAACAGTAAGAACAAAGCAATTTTGGTTTGAATCAGAAAGCAAATAGTATCTGCAGAATAAAAAGAAAACAAGTTATATGAAACCAGAATTAGCATTTCTTACTTGGCTCTCAAACTAATTTCTGAGTAGTTTTCATGACAGCCCTACTACCCAGAATCCAATTTATCCCAATGTGTATTCATTACTTTATCAACCCGCTTTCCAAATTTTTATTAAAACAAAAATATTATCATAGCTATGACTTTTAAATTTCAGACAAAACAATTATAAGTTAAAAAAACTAGAGTCAATAATAGTTAGGATGTTACAAAGAAACAAGTAACCTCCAATGAAAAATAGGAATGCCTCAAAGATTCTTCAGTATGAGGGGAAAAGCACTATCACAATCATTAGCAAGAAAGAGGTACTTACAATTGAGCGGCGTCCCCCCCCCTTTTTTTCCTTTGGCTTTTTAAATTAGATGAATATGTAATTTTTATCCTTTATTTAATATAAAAATCAAAATATATATATATATATATATATAAAATCTATAGAAAGCTGCAATGTATATTTAAGCCATGACAGATTGTATGCCTCACCTAGGACTCCACATCCAGTTTATCATAAACTTGCAATTCTATTTACTAATGGTTGCCTTCTTTCAGTTGTGAAATTTGAAAATCCTGATTTCTTATCCAATTTTCCTTCCCACCCCACCTTCTTTCCTTAAAAAAAAACAAGAAAACAAGAAAAAACAAAATACCATAAAAGAAAAAGATTCTGCATGCAAAAAATTAAGAAAAAAAGATAATGTCAATGAAGACAACATATAATGCATAGACATGTAATACAGCATCCAATGAAATTCTGACATAATCTTTTGGCCCAAAAAAAAAAAAAGACATAATCTTCCAATTAAATCACATTAGACATTCAAACATGAGAGCTAATCCTCAGGATTTGAGAACTTACAGGGGAGCAACAGTGTCATGCGTAACAAAGAATAATACCTTCCCGTCTATGGCTACTGCTCTGTTCAGACCCTCCAACATACCGTCTGTAGTAGCTCTATTGTATGGTGGATTCACTTTTACAGAAGGGAAGACAAGAATACAGTGAACATATTAAATATGGGACCAAAAAAACAAAAAAAAAAAGGGAAAGAGAGGTCAACAAAATTTAACGAGAACATGAACTGAAACTCATAGTTTAGAGGGTAGCTTACAATTAACAGCAGCTAAAGATGAGGCCAAACTTGCCATTCGCTTAGCTTTCAAATGCCCCCCCTGCATAAAAATCTCACATGAAACAGAAGCACTCTGATATCCCACTAATTGCTAATAATCAAACATTTTTTAACTCATCATGCACTATCTTCTTTCTTGTTTAGTGAAGGGGAGCACAACTGGGGATTAACTTGAATGTTTAGTGAAATTACTAGTTTCTATCATTATATGAATCATACTAGAAAATCAAAATTACCAGACAAGTCAAGTAAATATAGCGTTCAAGAACCATTAGCTTTATATTACCGCTACAGTATTTCATAATCTACATCCAATGAAAAATTTTGTTACCCTCATAAGATAGTCCAACTTGTCAAGCAGGCTTACTATCTTCTGAACCTCTGCAGCAGCATTTAGACTTGGATCCTTTAAGGCAGCAGCCTCAAACCCACTGAGGGCCCTCTCATAATTCTCTAGATATCTATTAACCTGTGACAAAATTATTCACGATAATAATTAACCAGCAAAAGCTAAAACTAAGTATTGTTCATGTGAAATATGTAAAGAACACAGTGCATGTGATTTTAACATGGTTATTTTCCTGCTCTATTGAAGTTGGAATTGGTCGAGAAGGCATTACTAAAACTGGGGTAGGCTCACACTTATAAACGTATTCAGAGTTTATGCTGAGTGCACTTAATTAAAAGCCTGATACATCCGTCCTTAAAGAAAGAACTATGATAAGCTGATAACCAGAATACTAAACATGCAAAGGGGAAAACCTTTAGTAAAGAATTACACCAAAGCTTCAGGCCAAAACAGAATTACACAAAACTGTCTCCATAAATGATAGAGGAAGACAATTTATCTGAAGAATTATATGGAAAAAGTTCTAGTATAATCTAGAAACAAGAGGCAAGAAACCAAGTATAATTATCAGTTGAAAAACCAATTCAATTTGCATGGTTAAAGGACCAAGTATAATTATCAGTTGAAAAACCAATTCAATTTACATGGTTAAGCATTTTTTTTGCTCTTTTCCCTCCATATAAGTAAAATCAGTCACGAATCATGAGGGTTGAGTCTTCCAAATATCTAACCCTGTACATTATGGGAATGATGATACTTTATGAAATAGCGAAAGACTGAGAATAGCAAAAGTGAATAATATGAAATATGAAGGAAATCAAGAAAAAGATTCACGAGAATAGAAACTCAAAAAAAAAAAAGTATTAAACTTACAATGGCACTATTAAAATATAGATCTGGATTGGACTTCATTCTTTCATCTTTCTCCTGGCATATATTTAACAAAACTTTTATGTTTCCAGCATTATTAAAGAAAAGCCTATAATCAACCAGTTCATTCACTTGTACTCACAGCATTTTGATATGCTTTTACAGAATGTTGAAGTTTGCTATGATCCCAAGCTCCAGAAACAAAAAAACTAGTAAGGCATGCGTTTCCAAGATTATCTGCCAAGAAAATCAGATTATGTTAAAGATATAAATTTTGCAGTATTATTTTCAGAACAACCAAATATTTTTAGGGAGAATACAAAGAGAAAGGGGAATGGACCACTTTGGTTTCTCTTATAAACGTTATTCATTCAAAAGGGGGAAAAGTGAATTTGAAGGAATAGCAATGTATCTAGAAAACACGTTAGCTTCTTAAGGCAAAACACTTAGCTTCTTAAGGACTTGTTGGAGTCAGAAGAAAAAGGGAAGGAAAGAGGATGAGAGGTTAACTTAGGAATTTCCTTTCTTTAGTTTGGATGTCTAATATTCACTATCATATATTTCCCGACTCACAAATCAATAAAACTAAAAAAGATGGGAGTTAAGGGTTTTAGAGTTTGGACTATTAATTTTACCTCAATTTCCCTCTTCTATAGATAGAGAGAGAACGGGAAAATTCACCACAACAGAGAGATGACAATGAAACCTTTCCCTTCACTCTCCTCTCCCCTCATTCGGTCAATTCCCACCATCCACATCATTAGGCATTCAAATAATGTCATATTACAATCCTCAATGCTCATTTCAGGGGAAGAAATAAAAGCATTTTAATCACTTTATTGCCTATTTTGTTCTATCCAGTAATGGGCATACATATAAGCCAAATTTCCCACATCATACATGATGATACATGTATCATCGCATACCAAAGAGAAGAGAACTTGTATAATGAAACTCTAACAAAGACAAGACGATATGAACTTTAAATACCCAGTGTGATTGTGTCAATATATGAACTGTTGTTTGATAGCAAAGCCAGGATTGTTCTTTGAATACATGTTAGCAGCATATAAAGAATCTTACACCAAGAATAACCATCCTTGACATCCACAGTGATAGCTTCTTTGGCGTGTTGAATGCTTTCCTCAACAAGTTCTGCTTGATTCTCAGCACCTGTGAAGGAATGGATTTTTCGAAATCACAATTGTACATGAATTATGAAAAAAACTGAAAGAACTGGACCACAACCACAAGCACTCTTTAGAAGTGCTGAAAAAATTCAACAATTACCAAGGAAATTAGGATAAATTAAGAAAAATGTAAGAGATATTTAATGATAAAAATTAGAATTGAATCCCTTACCTTGTGACATTTTTCTTTTAAGCATTGATAATTGACAAAGAATATTCTTGTCACGACCCTGAAAAAAAAAAACCAATATATATCACGATGTCAATCAATTCAAAATCTGAACCTGATGCAGAGCAAAACTGACACTCAGAAAGAATAGAAAAGTTATGGTCTTTAATATATCTGCAATAAATGTGAATAGAAAAGTCTAATTAAAATCTTGAAATCCTTCAGTCATTGCAGTAAATTTCTTATCTGCAACATATATTCTCTATAGCCAATTCAATATTCCACCAAATCAAGAAGAAAACTAATACATCAATATATTCTCTCAATCAATTCACATTTCCCTTCCTCTTTTATTCCCACTTTCCACGAGAAAAGGTTTCAGCTAATTATTTCTGATATAACAAGAAATTTTATTAAAAGGAGAGGATAAGGAATGCATGAGAAAAATAATACAGAAAACAAGTTCATCAATACAATGACGCTCTCCAATTTTTCTGCATGTCTTGTGAACAGACCTGGCAATGCCAAAGAGAACCCTTATAAACAATAAACAACCTATGTCATAAAATATTTTACTAAAAGGCTTATCCAAGAAAATCCAAGCATTCCATTTCAGCTAAACACTGCATAGTGAAGCACACAGATGGCACAACTGAATAGAACTTTTTCATCCTCACATCAGAAAAACCTTGATTTCTGCTTTCATGCTCAAGTAAAAATGAAGAATCTAATAAACATCAGAAAATTTCTATCTTTCACATTTATTTGTTTCTATGTGTTCACTTGTCCGGATTATGAATGTTTTTTATTCACAGTTAAAATTAATCATTATGGTCCTTGAAAGCAAACGAACTCATAACAGAATTCCATTACATGAATCAGATCAGCTAGGGTAAGGCTCATGGTTGTTATTCAACAAATACAGACATCAAGAGGAAAAAGAAAAATGAAAAATCAAAATGCTCACACGCTCTGCAGTGTTTCAACATGTTCAACACCAGTCAAGTATTGGGAATCTAATGTCAGCACTAACCTTGCTTAATGCAAGACTAAGGCAGTTTTTAGCAGCAGATAGATCTCCTTTCTTCCAAATGCAGTTACCTAAACATAGCCAAGCATCTGCAAGAGATGGGTTTAGCTTAACCTGGTGCATAGAAATAGAAGTGTTAGTCATAAAACATCCCCTTCAACATCAATTGCAAGATAGTTACATATAGGCACAGAAACTAACAACTTGATTGTGCTTACAGCTTTTGATAGATGCTCCTCTGCTTCTTTGTTATAGTCAGGACATACATCCAATATCTTCCCTCTCAAATACTCAAATGTTGCACGTTGCATAGGTGACTTCCTCTCCTCTGGAAAAGATGATAATTTTATGAATTTTAGATACTTGGTTGTTGGAACCCAAATCAAATCATGTGTTCCTTATGAAATAAAGCTGTATATCTTTGCCCACAGAAGAAAATAGACAATTGGATGATAGAAGAAGCAGCATCTACAGCAAGCAAAGAAACGAAAATAGCAAGAAGAAAGAAAAAGTTATTCCTCTGGTATTTGATAGATCAGAGACTCTCCACTAAGCCAAATATGTGCTTTCCTCACACTGACCTCTCAGTCCGCAATACATTCTCTGCTAACAGCCTCTCTCTCTCTCTCTCTCTCTCTGTGTGTGTCCCACACACCCCTCAACCCATTTGAGTTACTTAACACTATTATTGCCCTTTTTTCATCCATCTGTCCAGCTCATGAGAAATTACCACAGCTAGTTTCACTTTTCCCTGCCTTCCTCTTACACATAATCAATGCATTAGGCCCAATAACTTCAGATCCATCATATATAAAAAAAAAAACATAGTAATAAGGAATCATGTTGACTTTCAAGAGTTAATAATCTGGCACTAAATGAATTATTTTTCATTGTCACAGATACAGATCTGAGCAACTGAGACAGTAACAATGAAGAGAAATTCATAGAAACATCTCCTATATGTTATTGGCTCTTATTTTGATTTCAATATCTTAAACTCAATTCTATGGTTGATCAGTCCCAAATTGGCTGAAGATTTGATTGACCTTTATTTTTGCTATCTCTGAGGTGGTTTCATTTCATGAAGTATGTTGGTACTAATATTTCAATGTTATGATGATCCATAGGGCTAATTGAACCCAATTTTTTTTCCAATGAATCAATTAAAACTGAAACCCACATAATATTTCTCCATCTATTCGTGCGTGTAAGGATTAACTGATCCCTACCATGTTCCCCATACTCTTCTATTTGACTATAAAATTATATCTCCTCCCTTTGCCTCTCTTTTCAACTGTTTCGCTCTTTATTGATCTCTCCCTCAGAGGCTATCGTAGTTACTATCTTGCAGTCAAGTGACTTTTGCAACCTTTTCCGCAAAGTCAAAACAAAAAATGACATTTTTTTACATTTATCATCCTTATTGTACATAACAAAGTTTCATTTTTCAGGTTATTCTGACTGGTACTGCAGTATCATATGTTATGTCTTCAAATGTACGCTATGGTAATTTCAGTCATACTTGCGAGGTATTCGGAAACTCTTAAAACCGAATTTTCCAAATCCTCATAACACAATAAAATAGTTCCCGAATTCATTGAAATTCAACCCTAGGTTCATTGGTTGTTGAATAAGCAACAAATCAGAATAAGCATTTTCAACCTGATAATTGAAGTTTGAACCAATAAAAAAGAAACGCAAATTACACCACAGAATCTCATTCATGCACTCATTTTATGTTCAGTTTCCTCAATTCCAATATATCTGCAGGCTCAGTTCTCTGGAAAACCGAACTGGGGAAGTAGTAGTAGGAGTTCCTCAAACATAAAACGATACAAGTTTATATGAATAGGTCAATTTTTACCTGGAGATATAGAATCGAGGAATTTCAGAGCAAGATCGGATTGTTCTCGCAATTTGGAGATCTTGTCATCTTGATTTTCCGGGAAATAGGTGTCTCGGGTGTGGTAAAGATTTTCAGTAAGTTTCGCAGCTTTCGCTAATGAGTGTTCCTCTACGGGGCTGCTCATCTCAATAACTATGGCGAAGCACACTGCTGGAGAAGTCTTGAGGAACTCACCGAGGCTGAAAAGACAAGCTTTCACATAAGAGCCAAGATCCCTATAACCCTCCTTCCTCAGAGAGCATCTCGCCTCAACGAATCTTGGGATGATTATGAGAATACTTCGAGAAAGTGATCTTAATGTGTCCACAATACTTCTGCCTCCTCCACCATCCAAAACAGAAAATGGAACATATCAAGCAAAAAAATGTGCATATATTATTGGCCTCCAGTTCTGGACACTCACTAGTTAAATTTACATACAACAATTATTTATAATTTCATTTTCCTTTAATAATTTTATAAAATATTTTTTCAGTCATTTAATTATAATTAATATAGTTAGTTTCAGCAATAAAAATTTTTATATTAAAATTTTAAATATTAACAAAATAATGTTTTACATATTAAGTTTAATATAATTAGCATAAAATATAATTATTTAAAATTAATAATGGAAAGCATTAGAGAATTGAAAAAGTACTTTATAAAATTAAAAGATTGAACTAAAAGTTTATACAAAATTAAAATATCAATGGTAGACTTTAGTTTACAGTTATTCATATCTACTAGTATTAATCAACGTACGGTTTCAATAGATTTAAATTATTGATCTTGCTTTTAAAATAAGTAGCATGAATTTCACTTAGTCTAGTTAATATTAGTTTAAACAAAGTAGTATTTCTTTTAGATGCGCACATAAAAGAATTTATCGATAATATTTATTTTTACTTCAAATTAATCTGATTTGGAGTATTATCATTTGTCAAAGATAGCTTTATGGCTTTCTAAGGTTATTAATTTACATCCATTTGATACATGCCTTAAATCTTTCTTAAGCTTAAGAGACATTCACATGCTCAAACGTGAGTTACTTGTATGTACTAGATTGTACTACTCGTGTGATGCACAAGGAGAGCATTCATCAAACTTTATTCCTTCTTCAGTGCTTTCAGACAACAATACAAACTTGCAAGCTGACGATTATTTTTCCTAAGCAAAAGGAAGCAAAAGGAGATTTCTTAGAGCTTGAGGAAGAAAGTCAAACTTCTTCTTGCACATGTAGTATCAAGTTAAATTATACATTCCCATTTTGACATATAAACTAAGAGTGAGAAGTAAAGATAAAATAAAAAAATCAAAATGTAGTTGAAGACGTAATTAACAATAAAATATTTAAGATTATTGAATAGTTAACTAAGATTATTTAGACCAAATAATTAAAGATAAATTTGAATGAAACACCAATTGAGGTTTGGCCACCCAAACCTTGGGTGTTAAAAGCTCATTAATCTTTTGGATTGGACCGTTAACTTTGATGGAGACTAAATCGCAAACTTTGATCAAGACTGAATTACTAGTGCTGACACAGATTAGACTGTCGACTTTAACCGAGATCAAATGGCGAACTATGATTAGGATCAAAAAGTCAGCCCAATCAGGTCTTAATTGAAGTCAACAATATGGTTCACACAGCACCAGCAGTCCAACCCTAGTTGAAGTTTTCATTCTGACCTTGATCTTGATCCAAGTCTGTCATTTAGTCCCGATCGACACCAACGATCTGGTCTTAGTCAGCATTGGTTGTTTGGTACATCAACTTGGATGCTTTTAAATATAGAATTTAAAATTTGAAATTTTACTTAAAATTCAAATAAAGAATTTTAATACTATAATTTAAAATTTTTTATCTCATCCAAATAAAAAATTTAAGCATCTACAAATTTCAAATGTGAGATTTCAAATCCAAATTTCTAATCCAAATTCACTCATCCAAATGCAACTTTAATTAATTTAAATTTTGTCAAGGTTTTTCTCTCTCCTTTCTCCACTCAGCCAATCGAGCTCAACCAATGCTCCTCTTCTCTTTTCTCTCTTTTACCCCTCTTCAACCAACACAACAAAAAACAGCTAATTATTCCGTCACCAATCAATAAAAATTTTGTTGCAAAATGAATTAGTAATGGAATTAGCGACATAATATTTTTGTTGATAAAAACATTGTTACTAATTCTTTAGCGACAAAATTTGCAACTCCATCACTAATTAGTGACAAAATTAGGGATAGAATTGCATTCCATCGCTAATTAGTGACGGAATAGCGATGAAAATTTTTTGTCACCAAATAAGAATAAGTTATTTTGACTTTAAGACGAAATGCATTCTATTGCTAATTTATTACGTGGACCAAAATATCATTGTCACGTCACCTGGTGGACCAATGCCACCTCACCATTGCCTAATCACTCAATGGATCAGTGCCACCTCACCACCACGTCATTTGTCACTATCATGTCAAATATTATTACCTTTCACTTTGTTACTAGTCGAGTTGAAAGGAATCTTCAGTTTTAATTGATAAACTAAATATATAATACCTAACTAGACACCAATATATTAATAAATATATTATTGAAATTATTATTAAATATAGTATTTAGATTTACTTATTTTTTTAACATTATGTTTATTTATTAATATGGAAAAATTAATTTATATATAATAATTTTTCTATTATATTTTATTTAAAAAATTATTTTTGGTAATAAATTTAATATTAACTTGAAAAATATTTTATTATCATTACATATTATATTATAATATTTTAAATTTTTATTTTTTAATTATTTTATTTTATTTTTTATTTTTAAATAAGAATAATTAAGTATACAATTTAAATTATTATTAATAATATATAAATAATTTAAAATAATAAATTATTTTAAATTATATTGTTTAAATTATTTATTTATAGCATAATAATAAGTTATTAAATAATATATATAAATATATATTATAAGTAATAAAATTAAATTAAAAATAATTTGTGATGGAATTAGCAATAGAATTATGATAGAAAGCTTTGTGATAGAATTTTTTATCACAGATTTCATCACTAAATCAAAACAAGATATCCTAACCATTAGTTATAAAATTTTTCATCGTTAAATTCCGTTAGTAAATTATTTCCGACGATAAATTTCATCGGTAAATTATTTCTGACGGATTAGTGACGGAATAATGATAAAATTTTAATAACAAAACATTCTATTGCTAAATTTCATTGGTAAATTAGTGATTGAATTAGAGATGGATTAATGATAGATTAGCGAATAAAATGAGCTTCCGTCGCTAATTCGTTGTTTTTTATAGTGCAAGTTTTCAATATGTCTTCGCTCACTGCCATTGCCTCTTGTGTCTGTGCTCGCTGTTCTAGTTGTTCGTGGAGGTTGTCATTGGTTTCGTCGAGGTTGGTGTCATTGTCCATTCCATCTAGGTTGGTGTCCCTTCATCTGTTGAGTTAGTTGTCATTCTTCCATCTATTTAGCTTGTCATCCGTCATGGTTGTCCAATTTGCACCTCTCTCTGTTTTGTCGTCCTCATTTGCCGCTTGCTATCCATTGTAGTCATCGAATATGCTCTCTTTGCATTTGTTCTTGCCACATAAGACCCGTGCCCCTTGTTTCCACTATTGTTTATCATTGATAAAGTTTTTTCTACATTTACATCAACTCAAATTTGAGATTTTTATAATTAAGCAATCATTTCACTAAAATCAACAACTAATTAAGGACTAGGAATTGTATACTTTTGTTTGGACCAAAAGATATGCTATTGGGTTGGACTAAATAGAAAAGGCCTAATAGAAGAGACAATAGATGAATGCAGGTCTAGCGTGATGGATCTTTACAAGATTGGACCTTAAGAATTTTAGTGAAATGTTGCATTTCAAGGGTCAGCGACTAGATCCTATCCATATAACCAAGATCCGAGAATCTTAGAACGCTCCACGAACCACATTCTCCCATTTTAAAATACTAGGCTCTCCTAGATGGCACAAACAATTATAGCTCCACTTAAGTGGGCAAAATTTAAATTTGAATCAAAGAGCAGTGACCTGTAAGTGTACAAGCAAAGGGGTGAACACTAGAAGAGCTCACAAGCACTCATCAAACTCAACCAATTAACTCAAATCAATTGAATCTTAGTGTGTCAATCTTCACCCTACGCAACCTTTATCTCCGATCTCGGGTATCTAGATTATTACTTTACTTCTCACTCCGTTCATCAAAACGCCTACACTATACACATTCCCTAGGAATGAATGGTTATTTCTTGTGACTTGCTTCACACGTTCATACTCTTGAAAAGCTTAGGCACTACAAGAAAATTGCAGTAAAAAGGACTTTGAGAACCCATAATTGCTAATTTATACAAATTGTAGATAGAAAGAAAAAGACAATGATTGGCTATAGAAAATGTGCCAGACCTCAATGCTCGGTCAGGGCTGGTGCTGTATTATATATAGTACGAGAAACGGTTACAAAGGGATTCAAGGATGGTGACGTGTGGCATGAGAAATATCTCCTATACAATGGTAATGGCCACGTGTACACCTAAAGAATATTCTGGAAAGATACAGATAATTACAGTAATTAAGAAATTAGTCTCATGCTTTAACATCTCCCCTCAAACGAGAGGGTGTTATTGACAAACCGAGTTTGTTACGAAAACCAGTGAATGAGCTAGGAGCAAGAGCCTTGGTGAAGCAATCTGCTATCTGACAAGAGGAGGGCACATACCGAATATCTAATTGACCTTCTAATACTTGATCTCTAACGAAATGGGTGTCTATCTCGATATGCTTACTTCGAGAATGCTGAACAGGATTTGAAGCAAGGGCTTTAGCACTTATATTATCACACCAGATGATAGGTGGAGCCTTCAAAAACAATCCAAGCTCAGTCAACAAAGAACATAACCATCTAATCTCTGCAGCTCCATCAGCCAAGGCTCGATATTCAGATTCAGTGCTTGAACGGGATACTACTCGTTGTTTCTTCGAGGCCCAAGATATAAGAGTGCTACCAAGATACACACAGAAACCTCCAATAGATCTTCGGTCATCTGAATCAGTTGCCCAGTCTGCATCTGTAAAAGCTGTAAGTTGTAGCTGAGAGAAAGGTTTGATATGCAGACTAAGACGATAAGTACCCTTAAGATACTGTAAGATGCGTTTCACTGCTTGAAAGTGAAGTGTGGTTGGAGCAGAGAGATACTGACTAAGTTTATTTACAGAGTAAGCTATATCTGGTCTGGTTATAGTGAGATACTGAAGAGCTCCAATGACTTGTCTATACTCAGTCGGGTTTTTAATCAAATCTCCATCAGAAGCAGAAATTTTACGCCC